TTAGTGGAAATTGGACAGTACAAGCAAAGTTCACTCTTCGCTTTTCTGTTTTCTGCCCTTTCATGTATCATAAAATTTATTCAAATAGAGTGCATTTCAACGTAATTGGAACTGCAAATGCGGAAACTGTTTTGCAAAAATCTGAAACTTAAAGTGAACGATAATCAATGCACCTTTGCGAATTGCTCGTTGAATAGTTCATCGAATCAGCCGAGCAGAGGGAAAATGTTTAAAGATTTGAATATTGCAAGCCTTTACACCTTTCCACCACTGCACCATCAATACTTTACGCCGTTGCACCACCGCACCGTCAATACTTTACGTCGTTGCCATTCTCCGTGTTACTCCTTCAGATTATCAATTTATTTTTATTTAAAAACATCGGAAAGTGCACGGCGGACCACATTTCGGGCAAGCGAAGGGCCGCGCTTTATATTTCCCGCTGAGCCACTTCTGCTTTTTCTTATTTCTCGTTCGCTAACTATGGAATATTTCCTCGAGATTCCGAATTTTGGGTTTTTCTTAGAATTGTTTGTGTCAAATGTATGACAAATCCTTTTTAAACATATTTTTGTGCCTTTAATTAGTTTTAAAATTGCAAATTTCGTTGAATTAATTTTCATTTTTCTCGCGTAAACGAATCTATTTGAATGGAAATGCGAATTTCCTCTTAAAAATTCGAAATTTTCGCTTTTCCGAATACGTAATTGTAATGAACTGTAGAGAGAGGACGGCTGCACAGCCTTGCTTGTCGGAATCGAAGGGATGTGTGCGCGTCGGATGGCGGATGCACGGGCTCGCTTGTCGCGCCGAGGACTCGTTTGTGGTCCCGCCCCGAGTGGCTCGCCGGCCGGCAAAGAAGTCTCACTAGAAGCGACCAGTGGAGCGAGCGAGCCAGGTTACTCGGAAACGGTGAATGCTCGCTTGCTTCCTTCTCTAATTCCTTTCTCCTTTATGACTGAATATACAGATCTGCGCGAATTTTGCATTGTTTCTCTAATTATTATAGTTTTTGATTTTTTTATATAATTTGCTTTTAATTTTCTTTTTCCTTTTAGAGTTACACTTTATAATATTTCTGCAAAATAAATTCGATTTTGGATTCCATGGTCCATTTTGCACTTCCGAGTTTTATCAGAGCGGCTGAAGTGATAAGAGAGCGTCGATGATTTGATTGAAGTAAATTCCTTGTACATTTAAAATATATTTTTAAAATTTCAAATTGGGATTATGAAAAGATGATAATCTCAGCAACGACCACTCAGCTATCGTTCCTCCGTTAATTATCTTTAATTGCTAGTTCTCACAATAAGATCACTAATATTATTACTGAATCACTATTACTGAAATATTAAAAACAATATTCAACCAACATTCCATTTATTAGATTATTAGATTAAATATCGAAAATTTCTTAAAATGAATTGACCGTTAAATTTTCAAATTTAAATGTTTCAATAAGAATTTTATATAAAAATTCATTGTAAATCGACAAATTTTTTAGGATTTTTATAAAATTTATCGTTTAATTTTTTCGTTGTCAAACAAGCAAACAAATTTTTTTGAAAAGAAAAATAAAACTGCATAAAAATTTACTAAGATGATAATATGGTTTCATTGAGATATTTAATCAATTTGACCTGAAATGAACAAAATCTTTTTATTGATAATCGTTTCAATACGGTTCTGCAATATTTTAATGGATTAATTTCAAAAAATGAAATTATCTGCGTCTTCGATTATTTATAACCGATTGATCATTCTACTTGCTTTTCAAATAAGATTATTATTCCAAGAAAAGGCTTGAGACTGAAATTGCAAATTAATCTGCATTTCTATCCAAATTTCACTTTTAGTGGCACATTTAGGAATAGAAATTGAACTTTTAGTGGTTGATAATAGTCGAAGAAATACACCATTTCTATCCCCTAAGTCTATTCTAAATTAATATAATATTTAAATTATATTAATTTTAATTATATTATATTAATTATATTATTATATTAATTTATGTATTATTTTCCCTATTATAAATAATCTGTTGTTTAATTCGCATAGTGTATTATTTTTCTAAGCTTAAACCTATTCAGGCTGATTAATTTTCTATTTCGCCAATCACTCATTAAAATGACAATTCAAAACTTTTTTAATAAAACTTTTTTAAACTTTTTTAATATTTTTTTTTCATATTTTAAGGATGATTTTCCCAATAATAATTATAATGATATTATTCATTGCTTTTAACAAGTTAGTTCGTGGATTTTTTCACCAAAATTTTATCGAAAATTGCAGGAATAATATTCAAGTTTTATCAGGTTTGTTAAAATTTTTTTTCCCAATTTTATGTTCATAGATTATTTAGAATTTGTGAATATGGATATTAAGGTTTTTTTCATTGTTTTCTGTTTTTTTAAAGTTCAAGAATAGAAAAAATTTCTTTTACGTGAATTAACACTTTTTTCTCGCTTTTAAATTTCTTTCAATATTTCTTTTACGTGAATTCACACTTTTTTCTCGCTTTTAAATTTCTTTCAATACATAATATATATATATATATATATATTTTAATTAAAGAATTTTTTTTTTTTAATCAATGATCTCACGCTGGGATCTCTTTTTTGTTCATTAACATATAAAATTTTAGCTGTATATTTTTTTAAATGAGCAGAAGAAGAAATCTTATCCTTTTTTTTCGTTTTTTGCGAGGTTACTTTTAAGATTTGAAAACTTTCTTTCTTTTTATTTAAATTTTTTTTAGGTGATCACCATTTTGTTCATTTCAATGAAATCAAACAAGGATTATATTGTAGTCTTTGTGAAAATGGAATGCAAAACGGACTAGAATGTGATTATTGTGGTGTTGTGGTTGATACAATCTTATGTTTGCATTCACTTTCTCGTACAGTTCCTTGTAAGATTAGCAGTTCCATTGGTGACAAGCAACTTACTCATCATTGGGTAACATTTTACTCTTAATTTTCAATTTGTTTATTTATATATTTATTGAAAACCAGCCAAGCAGAGCGCAAACGCTATGTGCTTGTATAAATAACAACAATTAAAATAACAAATGATAAGAATTAATGATAAAAACAAAAAGTAATACTAATAAAATAAACAATTTAAAGATGAAATAAAGAGGAAGTTGCAAAGTACTATAATTAGTACAATTCGAACTAACTATAATTAGATGGTAAAAATCGAGATTTCATACTTCCTGCATGAAGTGAAATAATATCAAAATAATAATAAAAACAAGTGAAAATAATATATTCTTTTTAAATAATATCATAAATGATATTATCTATTTTTTTTTTAAAGGTAGCTAGAGATGGCGCACAAGCTATATCGTTCGGTTTATTCCAGTAATTAATAGTACGAATAAAGAAGTCATGAGTCCTTAGTTTAGTTTTACACATAGGTTTTAGTAACTTTAGCCCATTAGTTCTTGTTGGATTTAAATTTAACCTAAAATTATAATATTTTGAACAATCTAGTTTAACATAACCATACAAAATCTTATAAGTATAAATTAAATCTTGTTTAATACGACGAACTGACAAAGAATCCGGATTATATTGTAGAAGTTCTCTTTTATAATTAAGATTGGAATTAGGAGAGAGGTGTCATGTAAAATATTTTTGGAGTCCTTCAATTATTTTACTCGATTTGCGATATCTCGATGATTAATATATAGTATTGTAGTCAAGAAATGGCCGAACGAACGCTTTGTAAATTTTTATAAGAAAATCTTCAGTTTTGTTTTTAAACGAACGAAAAATAAAATTCAGTATCTTTGAGGATTTCTTTACCATGGTTTTGCAGTGAAGATCAAAATCGAGATTTTCATCCATGATTTTTCCAAGATCGGAAGCGTGTGAGACTTTACTGATTATATTGCCATTAATAATAAGATTAGGAAAATTGAAACCATTAGAATTGATATGGAGAAGGATTTAAAAAAAATTAAATTAAATTTAAAGTAAGTAATTAAATTTAAATTTAAATTTAATTTGATTTGATTTAATTATAAATTTTATTATATATAAATTTTTAAAAGGAAAGGGTAATTTACTTGCCATATAACCGCTGGCTATTCTGTTGAGGTCCTCCTGCAGTGGAAATAGGCCATCTTTTCTACCATGAGAATAATAAGTTTACAAGCATCAGCATAAAGATAAATAGTAGAATTTAGTACCACATCAGTGATATCATTTATATATAATAGAAAAAGCAATGGCGCAATACCTTGGAAAACACCAGATTTATCAGGTGTTATGTCAGAAAGAGTGTTATTGACGAGTACAGCTTGGTGACGATCTTTCATGTAATTTAACCCAGTTATAAAGGGCCCCTGTAGTGCCATAACTATTAAGAGTGATCAATAATTTACTATGGAAAACAGTATCAAAAGCTTTAGCCAAATTTAGGTACACAAGTGATACTGTTTTACCATTGTCAATTGATGCAGACCAATCGGAAAGATTTGCCAATATTTGTGAAGAAGTGGATTTTTTGTACAAAAGCCATGTTTATAAGAGGATATAAAATTATTGGCATCAAGATAAGTAACCAATTTGTTGCAAACCTTTGGAGTACCTTGCTTACCAACGCCTAATTGGTCTATAGTTAGAATGGTCACAGGTGCTTCCTTTTTTATGAATGGAAATTATATGAGACAACTTCCAAATTTTGGGATTAAGGCCAGATTTATATGAATTTATCATTATTTTTTTCGTTATACTCGTATTTTAGAATTTTTTCCTTCAGCAAGTTTTTTCAGCAGCTTCAGATGCCTAAAGGTTATTTTTTGAATTATTTTATTGTAGATTCGAGGAAATCTTCCATCTAATAGCGTGTGTTTTATATGTAATGAATTTTGTGGCGATGGAATTGGCCTTGTCGATTATCGTTGTGCCCTTTGTCAAGTAAAAATTATATATTTATATATTTTTATGCTTTTATGTTTTATGTTTTAACGAAAATATTTTTTTTATAAAATGGAAAATTTTATTGTTGATAAATTGTATTTAGATTACTGTGCATGCAGATTGCAAACATTTTACGCGCACAAAATGCGATTTGGGTACTTATAAACAATTTATTATCCCTCCGAATTGTTTAACAACTCGAAAGGCCGGATTCGGTCGGAATAAACAGGTTTTTTCCTATTGTTCATATGTTTTCAATTTTTTAAATTTAAATTTATTATTCTTAGTTATTTTAAACTTAAATTTAATGAAAATTTTATGCGACTTTATTTTGACATTTATGATTTAACAACAAAATTTTTTCACAGAAGCTTCTGATATTTTTAGTTAATTGTTGAATCAGTTAATACATCAGTCGTGCCAGAATTTGATTCATGGACTCCACTTTTTGTTGTAGTAAACCCCAAAAGTGGAGGTGCAGGTGGTATTGATGCTTTGCGAACCTTACGCTTATTTCTTCATCCTGTTCAAGTAATGCACTGATGGTTTATTTATGGTTTTATCTTTTTGCATAATGTGCGCGCTCAATTTTTGCGTCATTTTTCTATTTTAAGAAACGTCTGTTATTTGTTTCATCTTTTTATTCATTATTAGATTTTATGACATTTTACATTCAAAATTGATATCTCCTATATATTTTTTTTATTTTATTTTTATTTTTTATTTACTTAGTATTTTCAGCAAAATTTTTTCAAATGTACTGTACTTTAAAAATCATTAAAAACTTGCATTAATAATGTAATATAAGCTCAATTAGTTATTAAGGTGATAAATGTTGAAAAATTACGAATTGGAGTAGCTCTCCGATGGATGGATATGTATCCGAATATTTCTTGTTATATACTTGTGGCTGGTGGCGATGGAACTATATCTATGATATTAAATACTGTCAGTAAACTTCAACGACGTCCTCCTGTAGCAATTTTGCCTTTAGGAACAGGCAATGATCTGAGTAGGACACTTGGTTGGGGTTCTGGGCATTCTGGGTCAATTGATTTTAACAAAGTAATTTTTCTTTTATTATATTATTAACTTCACGCTAACTGATTGTTAATCATTAAACTACTGCACTTTTACCACCGTCGCATTTGTTATGAGATATACACTAGATTTTTATCAAATGTCGAGTAGGAATAGTATTTACCACTGATTTTATTTTTCAGTTGTTTTAAATATTTGCTTTATCAGATTTGCTTGGACTTGCAAAGGTCAAAATTAGTGAAGCTGGATAGATGGAATGTAACTATTGTCCATAAACGGCGATTTGGAGTTCGGGCGAAAAACAAGCAATTATGTATGGTCAATTACTTGTCCGTCGGTGTCGATGCATGTGTCACTTATGGTTTTTTACAAATTTTTTGCATTATTTATTATTAATAATGAATATTAATATGAATATTAATAATGAATATTATTAATATTAATATTTTTCAAAACATCTGCCAAGTTTAAACATTTAGACATTTAAATTTGTTAACGTTAAATTCTTTTTGAATTTTATCGAATTTCGTATATTGAATTTTTTTCTAGAAGCGATTTTTCGTTCTGCTGCCTCATATCATTTGACGAAGTAAGGGCGGACCAGCAGCATCACTTAAACAAAATATAACTAATTAGTAGCATGACTATTATTTTGAAAAATTATTTTTTTAAGGAATGCAATCGACCAGAGATAGTTTTCGTCGAATTTTTTCTTCTCGTTTTTTAAACAAATTATTATTCTTTACATTTGGAACGAAGGTTTATTTTTTATCCATTGTTTTTTGATGGCATTTTATGATACTTTTTTGAACATTCTTATTCGAATAATTGTTGAATATCTGATGGGGTTATTAGGATGTTCTGGAGCATTCATGTGCTGATTTACAAAATATGATCGAATTGACCATCGACGATCAAGTAATACCTCTTCCAGCAGTAGAAGGCTTGACGATGATTAATATACCAAATTGGGGTGCTGGAGTTCAGCCATGGGCAGATAATGATGCTATGCGTCAAGCAATCGATGACAGTTTGTAATTTAACTTTTTTTCAGTTTTATTAAGGGCTAGGAAATAGCAAAAAAATTTCGTTATTATAATTTTTTGCTTCTTGTGGTTTTATTATATTGAATAACACTACCGAATTTCCAGAAAAATTAGAAATATTCGGAGTGCGGTCATCTTTTCACATTGCTCAACTGCAAATTGGTGTTTCTAAGAGTGTACACATTGCTCAAGGCTATAAAATTAAATTGCGTATATTTGGTGGTGTATTTCCGATGCAGTGCGATGGTGAAGCTTGGATACAACAGCCTGGCATTATACAAATCGAACATAAAGATCAAGCCAATATGCTGTCGCGAACTGATGAATTTTTTCATAAAAAATCCATAGTTCTTTTTTTTGATACTTGCCATCTTTGAAATTATCCATAGATAATTTGGGGTTTCAATTTTCTTGGTAAAAGCATATATTTTTTTCATAAAAGCATACTTATTTTCTTTCTTACATGTCTTGTACCTAACTCTGATTCAATCAATCTGCTATTTACTTCTTCTTCTATTTTGTTTTATTTGATTGGTATGTTTTACAAAACAAAAAAACACAAAAAAACTACCAAAAAAAGATAACACAAAATATTTAATTATAAAAACCAAACCCAAAGGAAAATCCATAAAAACAAAAACCAACTCCCAACCATAACCAACTAAAACATCACTAACCAAAAGCCAAAAAAAAACAAATAGAAAAAGTCAATAAAAAAATCATAATAAGAACAAATAACAAATATGATTAGATCAGTGTCCAGTTGAGTGACCTTATGTATTTTTTAGGGTTTTTTTTATAGTGTAGTTTATTTTGTTTTAGTGTTTATTGGTTTATTGGTTTCAGGGTTTGTTTTTTAAGTTTTTGTATTTTTATAATTTTAGTATAATTGTTAATATAGTCAATTAAGGTTTGATAGATTTTTTGATGTTTGATTTTGAAGCATAATTATCATCTTTTGTCCTTTATTATTCAAAAATTATATATATTTATTTACAATATTTATAATATTTAACATGTCCTAAAATAACATTTTATTTTCCTAAAATCAAAAAATGATATCATTTTTGATAATAATGATGATAATAATAAAGGAATAAAAAAGAGTTGATATCGCACCAAGGATCCTTTTATAATTTTTCTTATTTTTCAAGTTATTTGTATCCTTTTATGGCTTTTTGTAGAGTAATAGTAATAATTATATTGAAAAATTGAAATTTGATGGTTTATTAATTTATCAATAAGTTTTATTTATCAAAATTTTTTTTCTTTTTAAATATAGCTGATATTAAAAAATTGAAGTAAGTAGTAAGTAGTGTGGCGTTTATCAGATGTGATCACCTGTCAATTATTTTTTTGTATCATTATCTAGCTTCGCCTCCAAAAAATTATGATCTATTATTTATTTCCGATAGCTATTTGCAGATTTTAGCACATGCTATGATTTATTACAAATGTAGGCATTAGAACAGAGTTCGCGTTAGTGCTTGTCTTTGATATTTTAAGGTGCCCTTGATTATATTTAATTCTGGTGACAGACTGGTAACTAGCAATTTTTCGTTTTTCAATCATTCTATTTCTTATATCATTCGGTATTACATTTATAGTCCATTTCTTTCTGAAAATCATCTAATTATGCCTTCTGTAAATTGATTTCATTTTAATGCAAAAGTGATTGCCGTTGTTGAAGGTGAATATCGCATATATCGCATATGAGCTCGAAGACGATCAGTTTTAATGGTCTTCTAAGGAAGTGCGTGGTTTATAATTAAAGATGTATAGTAAAGTACTGGCCGCGTAAAAATCCGTTTATCTGGCCAGATTCGTGCATTCGTGCAGTTATTAGTGCCATTGTTAAGGTTGGATTCGGAAATGCAGTTTTAACGTTTGCTTTCTTAATTTTTTCTTATTTAATTTAATAATCTTTTTCTATTTTGATTATCTTTGAATAAAAATGATCCAAATATTAAAATTTCTGTTCAAATTATTCAAATAAGAAGCTATTTGTGATTCACAAAAAAATTGCAAATATTCTTGTGATTCTCGCAGTGATGGCTTTAACTGTATGGAAAGGGGATGTGGACCATGCACGAACAGCTGTTATCACATATAGCATCGCGGTAGATCGCGTTTTCACCAACTTTTCGTTCGACGTGATCGCCCGCTTTTGCCTTTTTTCGTCTAATTTTATAATTCTTTTTCAACATTTCGGGCGGTTGATGGCAGTGTGATTGAATGCTAAATTGCATTTACTGAGGTTAGTCATCGTCTAAAAAAGAGCTAAATTCGTGATCCATGGGAGTGAACCTGTCACTAACGTTTGGCGGGAGGGGGAGGGGGAGGGGGAGGAAAGGGTCATCACTATATCACTGTTTTTCAAATGGCTCTCTGGCGAAAAGTTTCATTCGAATAATCAGCCAAATTAGAAAAGTTTAGTAATAATGGAAGAAGAATGACGAAGATAAAGAATGCAATTATCCAGTGAACTGCTCGCATTTCGAGTTTGCTCTATCTTTTTTAGGTTTTTGTTGAATGCTCGCAGGGAAAAACGTTTTAGAACTTAAGAAATCAGGGATTAGTAGAATCTTTCATAAATAACTGCAACTGTAGGAGATCGATAATCGAGAACGTGGTTGCTGCTGGTGCACTTTATTGGTCGCTCGATAGCCATATGTGGCCTCGTCCTCTAATAGATTGCAAATTAAATTGTGGATCAATAATCTCGATGAGAGTGATGATTGCAATCTAGTAGAATCAATGTTAATGTAAAGGGGACAAATTTGGAGTTCTTCAAGAAAATATTCTTTTTCTGATGTCTCTTTGCAATAACAATATTAATACACGCGTTAAAGCGAAAAATCGGACGAGCAATTCAACACCTCGCAGTAAGGTTAGTTGGTTTTTTCGGTTAAATGGCCAGCGTCTAAGAAATCCACGTGCTCTTTCCCTGCTCAGTTCCCCTAATAGTTGTTCACCTTTAAAGAATTCCGCTGCTTCCTTCTCAAGAATCGTCCCCTCTTTATGTTCTTCAGCGTCGCTGCACTATTCGCTCAATGATTAATGAGAAAATTAAGGTTTTCTGGATAACACTCTATAGCCATCACTACTCATGTAATTAATTTTTTTCCTTTTATAAACGTTCATAGCGCCACGTCGCATTTGAGGGACTTTATGCCATCATTTTATACTATTTATTGCACTATTTTCGTTCTTAGGATGTTTATTGGTTAAATTTGGTTATATTTCATGTCCCACAAATGATTTAAAATTCTTTATACGAGTTCATATTTTTCAGTATTGAGAATCCTTAGAGTTGAGGATAAAATGACCGACTGATATATCGCTTCGATTAAGTTAGTATTTGGTTAGTGCTCGTCATTTCAGGATTAATGGATGACTTTACTGGCTATTAGTAAAGCCAGAAATTTTTACCAGGGAGTCACCTGGTGATACAAATGGATCGCTGACACCATTCGGATAACGAGTTTATTCTTATTAGAGGCAGATTACGGACCCTTGCTTTCTTAACACGATAATCTCCTCGTCCTTACTTTGATAAGGGCTTGATTCTTGCAACTTGATGGAAATTAAAAGTGGAATGCTGGTGATACTTTCTCCTTTTCCTCCTCACCCCTCCTCTATACTTTTATTCTCCGAGAAATTTCCATCCCAATGAACTAATTCGAGCTAAGCAAACCAGAAATGATGGATAAAGACGATAATGTTAATATTTATAAATGTAAAGAGTCATGGTGAATTTAAGAATATCTTAGGTTAATATGCTACAACTTTCGTTGAAATCACTTAAAATATTTTTTACTATCCGATTTTTCCTCCAATTTCTTGTTTATTTTCGCCTGAATAGTAGTTATCCTTTTTTTCTTTATAGTTTTAATTATTTAAAATTAATTTGATTGAGAAGAAAATTTTTTTCTCTTCATTAAATAAATTGTCAGAACTTGCTTATCAGTTTGACCAGTAATTATCCACGAAATTTTAAATCCATCTTTAGCCCAAATTATAAATTAGATAAGCGATAAAATAATCTATAAATCTGGATTAAAATTTACCGTATTTCCATTTTTTTTTCTTCGCACCATGAGTGATGTGGCTTGTTCCATTAGTTTGAACCACTGGCGACAAGGGCAAAATATTTCCACTACTCCTAATCCGATATCATTCTTGAAAATAATTAAAGTCATAAGTCTAAATCTGTATATCGCTGGACGGTCTTTGCGTTCAAAATCTCTCTTAACTACATTGGTCCAGATTTTGATTGGTCGTCCTTTTGACGCCATCCATCATATGGTTTAAAAGTAATAAAATGTGCGTCAATTCTCAATTCCTAAGTGAATGACGAAGATCATGGCCAAATCTGCGCAGACGACGCTTCGTGACATACTCTTAATGCCGGTTTTCGAGTGAAGGTGGATCTTATGAGGTCGTGTCCACTAGGAGCGTAATATGTATTCCAGATAAAAATGACCGCTTCTTGATATCTTCCACTCTCTTTCACTATCAAGTTTTGTATAGAACTATGCGTATTATAGCCTGATAGCGGATAAATGGTTTTGTTTTGTGGCTGATTTCACAGCGATTTCGGAGAGATTTCGGAAGAAAGGTTTTATCGAAAGAAGATGCCTCTGGCTACAGCCGAGCTGGAATTCCATTTTAGACTAGTTATTAGATGTGAGAGTAGTTGATTCGATTTGTGTTCGAACAGCATCTGGTACACAAGGTGAAAAGAGTTTCGTCTTATTTACATTTATTTGAAGGCCAATTCTGACTGCTGCAGTTAACACCCAGTGTAGCATCCGTCGCAGTTACTCATAACTGTAATCAGCAAGAAGGACCACATCACCAAACTTCATGACACTATGTTCTCGACCTTTGAATGCCGGCAAGTGATGTGCATAACGATAAAACATATAACGATAGGCTTTCGATACTTAAAACGATGTTCGATAATAACTTTTTTTAACGTGAAAATTTGGTTAAAACTCCATCTTCTAGCCTAAATCCAGCTTGTTTAAGGCTGTCGCACCTTACTATGAATCTGTTCTAAAGAAAAAAAGCGAAAACCTATCTTTATATAGATCATCCGTGCGCACCGTAGAGGCTTAAATATAGAAGCTGTCTATCCAGATCATCCAAGCAGGGGGCATCGTGAGGGCATAAAGATAAACATTGATGATTGCAATATCGCGAAACATGCGGTGTATTTCTATTTATCAAAAAATCATAAAATTCTGAAAAAATTTATTTCGGAACTATCACATTCGTTAAGAATATACATAATGATAGTTATAGTAGATTGTTAGTAAAATTTCTTGGAACACTCTATCAGTTTGTGCAAATTAAAAATAAAATTTACGAAAATTTCTCGATTATTCATCCTTTTTCATAAATTTTCTTTTCCGAGTGGAGCACAGCGATAATAAATTATCATTTAACCTGATATTGTTAAATATATAATTTTAGCGATTGTTAAAATTACCTTATTTAGCGTCAAGGTAGCTTGATTAGCACCCACTCACCATTTGTGGTTGTGCATGGCTCTAATAAGTGGGAATATTGCAAGGTGCAAGTCGATCCAACGATTATTCCACCGCCATATAAAATATTTTTTATAGTATCTTAATTCAAATAGTGAAATATTTCGAGAGAACGAATTTATGTACGTTATGTATTTAAAATGCTTTAGAAGTTCTACCAAATACCCACAGTATATCGACCTTTGTAATGGCACCAAATGATAAAGATCCATTGCTCGCCTCATTAGTTAGATTAATGTTAATTTTTTAAGAGAGTTCAACTTTCGGATAGGAACGAAGAATCCTAATCCCGACTAGGTTAGCCCAATGAGATAACTGCAACTGAACTACCAGCGCGAACTTTACTTTTTTTTAGGCACTTCAACTTTTAAAGCAAGAACAAAAATGGGAAAATATATTTTATATTTCATTAGATTTCTATCATTTATTTCTTGAAATGAAAAAAAGGAATTAAAAAAACATTTTTCACCTTTCCAAGTTTACTAACCAAAATTTATTAGAGTACATCGAGGATTAAGAATGAAGACGATGAAGTGAAACGACGCGCAGATGCCGAAGCTGCATTTAGTGCGTGGTTAAATCGCAAAAAAAATTCCCCAAAAGGTAATTAGGTAATTCAATTTAATGCAAAAAGGAGATATCAAAACAATTCGGAACATTGAATTTATGCGATATTTAGCCACAAAATGGCATATAAAAAAATATATAGAAAACAGGTCTGAATTTAATCAAAACCTTGCTTAAACCCAAATATCAGCCTAAGGAAATTTCTCTTAGAAATCCGAATTTAGACTTTTCTAATATTCCATATTATTAATTCTTTGCTGTTTTGCAGCTGGCAACTACATAATTTGCAGGACCTCGATTTTCTCCAACAAGGGAACAAATAGCTCAACATTTGCGGGAAGATGCTCGTCATAGGTTTTTCAACACTTGGTGGGCTAAATCTCAAAAAACTTTGCAAAATAAAACCGAAAATTTGGAAAACAACCCGATGCATCGATGACCAATGAGATTCAAATTTTTTATTTCCTTCTGTAATAATCTTTTAAAATCTTATCACCAATTTTGCACCATTAAACGGTTTAACCAGCGTTTTCACCTGCAATATTTTCCAGTTTGATTTATAACCCACTCGCCTACAAAATAAAAAAAAATCGTTTGCTAATAAATTTCGCATTCTTTGCTTATATTACTTTTGTTCCAATCATTTTATTTATTTTAATCTTTTCTTGTTATGCAAAATATGTAAAAACTTTCCACCAAATCCTCCCAACCTTCTTCCAATTCCAGGAACAAAGTATTCAAAGTATTCTTTTTTCTTATTCTGTCTATAAACGATCATAACAACTGATTTTTATCAATTTAATAATGATAATATAAAAAAATAATTTTTTGCTGGAATAAAACCAATAAGCACCAATTTTTGCATTAATCAAAATTTTAATAAAAATTTAAAATAAGCAATCTTTAAAACAAACAAAACAATCACTACAAATCGTGAATTTATTACAAAATGAAATAATACAATAAGGTAAAAAAGAAATAAAATTTTCAGACGATTTTTACACTTTTTTAAATTTCTTCTTTGACCAAAAAATACTTCAAATTAAAAAAGTAGTTAAGAAATGATTTAAATCGTCCAAAAAAAGAACTTTAAAAATGAATTGATTGAGAAAAAAGAAAAACGATGAAGGCTGAGATCTTAAACATGACAACTGCCATTACCATCTTTGAAAATAAAAAGGCACCCATAATGACTTTAAATTTCCAACTTTCTTTCGCTGAAATTCAACTCATATCAACGAAGGATCTCAGAGGCAACAAAATAAATTTAAAATATCAAAAGAAGAAACGGAAAATATTAAATTTCATTGCTACTGCTATTATTATTTATTATTATTATTAATATTAATTATTACTATCATTGTTATTAATTATTATTCATTCACTATATTTAATATTATTTTTGTAATTATTTCACTATCATATTTTTTTAAGAGCTTACCACTGCTGATCTATTTAGGCTCCCACAGCTGGATCGTCGACCAAACAAATTTTGCCAGAGAATCACTTGGCATAAGTAGGTCACCAGCATCACCCAATTTTTAAAGGAAAGGTTTACTCCTGCCGTAAGCCCTAAGCTCTCAGAATCACAGCGTCAGAATACAACAATGTTTTCACCGTTCGGTAACATTACCACCCAACAAGATATAGATACGTCGGCCAGATTCGAAACCCAGCCATTATCGATGTTATTTATTTTGCTATTAAGTCGACGCATCTAGTATTATTATTATTGCCACCTTTATCCTTACTACTAAATAATTAATAATAAACCACAACAGAGTAAAGATCTTATAATAATAAGAAAAATAATAAGAAATGTGGAAAGAAAATTGATGGATGCCCTTTCTATTAGATGAAAATAAAATTTGCCAAAAGCAGATGAAAAAGTAAATTTTTACTAAAAAATTTTATGAAAAACCTATTTTAATTGAACTTCAAACTTTAATCTTTTGCAAAAAAATTTTTTTAAAGTAATATTCAGAGAAATTATTTATTTTATTTCTTAAAGAATTTTTGCGACAATAAAACTTCAATAAAACGAAAATTATTCGAAAAATCTTTAAAAGAACATCGATAATCTTGAAAATTAGAAATATTCATTGATAATTTGCCTTAATGTTAAAATTAATTAATAAATGAATATGGATAAATAAAATCAATAATAGAAGCTACAAAATTGTAAAATGGATGAAGTGATTGCGGGTATTTTGGAAGTAAAATTCAAAATTGTTTCAGAGTTCTCTAACCTTTAATATTTCCTCAAAGTATTTCACAATGTTTTATTAATAACTTCCACAATTCTGTAGATTTTCAGTTCTTTAAATTTTTAAATTGCATAAAATTTTTCATTAAAATTTTTCATTTGCCATTTGTTTATTCTTACGGGATTTTTTCGTTTCATTTTTTAATATTTCCTTTATTTTTTAAAATTTCGATTACGTTTTTCATTTCCTGTGCAATTCCTTATTAAACACTTTTTTATCTTCTTATCCTTCTTAATTATGAAAAAATTGATGACGTTCAATAGTCAATTTTAAAAAATCAGGAAAATCATTTTAAAAAAATGAATATAAAAAATAGAAAAATAATTGAAAATAAATAAATATTATTAAGTATTTAAAAATCATATAAAGCTCAAATTTTCTAACATTCTAAAAAATCAAGAGAAAACAAGAGAAGAAACTAACTTAGTAATAATTTAGGTACCCAATCTTTCAAAAGCGAATGAGGTCTCTGACATATAAGGAGGAGTTGTTGGAGTGTTGCATGGACATGGACAATGAGATTGACGTGACGTAAAAATTTCTTGGGCAGATGACTGATTTGCACCAGGTATTTGAGAAGGCATAAACCATGCTGAGATCGCTGCTTCCAGATTCCATGTATGACGAATCAATAATTGATAAGCTTGTTCAACTGAACACCCCGTTGCGTGGGTTAATTGTGCAACCAAGAATGCTTCTTTCACCTTTAATAATCAGTTATATCGTTTAAAAATTGATTTAAATATTTGTTGCAAAAATCTTACTGAATTTCAAAAATATTCAATAAATTCTTTAGAAATCTCTTTGATGAATTTTTTGAAAAAATAAAAAATTCTCGAAAATTTTGAAATTAAAAAAGGAAGATAAAATTAAAAAATTTATAATTGAAGATGTAAGCTGGAAATTTACTTTATTACTTTCCTCACCAGACATCTTTTACTTTGTTACTTGTAAATTGAGGTACCTAATCAAACCTGAAATACAAATTTAGATTGTTTTTTCCTTTTTTTTCAATTTTCATATTTCATGAACGAAATTTAGAAGCCAAACCTATTTCTCCCTCTTCAACTTATAGCATTTTTGGTTTGACTGCTTTTACAGTTTGGCCCATTTAGTTGGGTCCAAACGTCACCTGATTTCCCCTTTTAACAATGGGTTTCCCGAAAAGGAAGGCTGAACGCGAACTCATGATGGTCGAATCAACGCGCCATTTCACCACTTTGTCTCTAAAACTATAACGAACCTGATTTCCTTAAGCCGATTTGTTTACCTTATATAGGCCAAAGCTAAAATTTAACATATAAACTGAAAAATGAAACAAAATAAAACTCTTGTCAAATGTATATTAAATATCACATTAGTACAATAATTTTCAAGCAAAAAACATTTATCTTTTTCAAAGGAAAGGAAATAAATTTTAAATAAAATAAAATAAATTTTAAAAATTTTATATTTTAAAATAATAATGAAAAAAACTTCGATTTTCTTTATTTACTGTAATTTGAAAAGAAATTTTAAATTTTTTCTTAAAGTTTTTCGAAGGCAGTAAGAATTTTCTAAGAATATTACTTCTATTTTTAGTTACCACTAGATTATCCGAGCAGACAAATTTTGCGACGAAGACTCATTTGGCTTTCAACAGGAATTTTTGAAAATCAGGCTTTTCCCTACTGGGATTAGAAGAACACTAGTGCCAGCGCTCACTCGGGAATTCCGAAACACATGTTTTTCTCTACTGAGACCAGAACATCAGTGGCTTTGTTCTGCAATGAGAAACAGTTCACTACGCCATTCATCTGTTAGCAGAAATTATTTACTTTTCCTGTTACAGATTTTGCTAAACATTTTTGACTCCCTCCACAACAACAATACTCATACTTATAATACTACAGTTCAATCGACTCCCTCCTCCCCCACTCCCACGACGTCGACCTTTGACCCTCCACCTCTTCCACAATAAAAAACGTGAAAGGTTCAAAAGTATTGGTAACACGCCAAGAAAATTAATCTATGAACTTATTATCTTAAAGCGAATTGTCGAATTTGGCAAGTTGCCAGACTGTCAGCTGATTCTAATATTTCCTCATTCGAAGATTTTTTTTTGAAAGTGAGCGGGAGGTTTTTTTTATCGATTGATTGATCGATTTAAATATCAAAAAGCTCTTTTAAAGAGTGTCGGTTATTGATTGTTTGTTCGTAGGAATTATTGATTGATCCACTGATAAGAATTATTGATTGCTAGAATATTATTAATTGATCACTGATAAAAATTGTCAGTTGAGATTTACCAATGGACAATAATCGTTATCCATATTCGAATGCAAATGAAAAAGCAAATCATCTTCAGTGAGTTTAATTTTTTTATTGTTAGCTTTTTCCTTAAATTTTTTTTACAAATAGAAAAATTCTTAATTAACTTTTCTTTTTCTTTTTTTCTTTTTCTTTCATATTTTTTAAAGAGAAAAATAATGAATGAAAAATTTTAATAAATTATTTTTGCAATTTTTGTCAACAAAAAAGGCAAAAAATTTGTTTGGTTCGATTGAAAAAAAATTAATTGATTGATATTTTGGATCGTTCTTTTTATTATTATTTTCGATAGTTTTTTTGTGTCCTTAAATTAAAAAAACGATTCGTTTATTCAGTTAGTTTAAGAATATGAAAATTTTTTAAAGTGATTTGTTTCGGAAATCATTATTTCTGATTTGATTCCATTTGGCTTTCAAGCTTGTGACCCATTCCCCATAAAGGATATAGCTTTGGGGATGGCCAATTCACCAGACAGAATACAGCTTTGGCGATAGAAGCACCGTTCATTTTCCTAGTGATCTAATAGTTTAATCATTTTTGTTAAATTTATTTATTTGCTTCGTGATTTCATTGAGTTATGCAATTTATCATGAAAATATAACAATTAAATATTAATTATTGTTGAATGAGGTTATATTATTTACATTTTAAGAAAAAGTTTTCATTATCAGAAATCTTAATGAAAGAAAGTTGATATATGAGATTAATCTCTTTAATTTATCGAACGTTTTGGTCTTAGCTCATGGGATTTGAAGAAATGATAATTATAGAAGCTACACAGAGCATAAAATTTTATAAACTGTAGAGCTTGGAATGTTTTTTACGTTGTTGTTTTGCTCAAGTTTCTATACGATGTGATCATGACCTTATGTGACAGAATTCATTTTTTTTTCGAATCATTTTTTTCCAAATTATTGGTATTTCTGATCTTTATTTTTTATCTTTTCGAAATGACTTTTTTAGAACAGTAAAATTCGAAATCATTAAAAATTCAGAAAAATTTAGATTAATATTTAATTAAATATTTAATTAATCATTGTTGATGCAAGATAGCCGAGTGAATAGTAGTTAATTACTATGTTAAGATATACGGGTTCACTTTCTACCTTCTACAGTGCTAAATATATTGAAAATAGAAGTGGTACCTGCCAGGTATTTCTTTCGTCAGACGACTTCCTGGCATAATTTCTCATTGTACTAGCTTTCAGTAAAACAAGTTTGCCGGAAATGATGAAGGCTAACCATTTAATTAAATGTGATTATTTTAAAAAGGTATTTCATTTAAATGCATTAGGTTCCAGTAGCTTTTTAAAATAATGAATCCTTTTAATAAAGTTTTTCTGAGACCAGTCGATATTTTTTATTTGTTTTTAATCTTTATGAATTTTAATTATTTCAAAATTTGCTATTTTCATCATTGAATATTATTTATTTACGAATTATTAGTTTTTATACAATAATAATAGTTAGAAGCAGCTAATATTATTTTAATTTCTCTTCATATCGGTTTTATTTTCAATAATAATTTTTCATTTTATATCAGAAATATCGAATTAAAAATTTTTATTCTAACAATATTCAATTCTTGTTGAAATTTAATCGAATTTATTTATAGCTATATCCGAGATTTTCGAGTAGAAGCATGCCTCCAATTTAAGCAACATCAATGTCAACAGCATAGGCCGTTCACCTGTTTCAATTGGCATTTTGCAAATCAACGGAGAAGACGTCCGGCTCGACGATCGGATGGATCATTTAATTATTCAGCGGATGTATATTGTGATAAATACGACGAAAATACTGGAATATGTCCTGATGGTGATAAGTTAGTTATTTTTCTCCGTTTATTTATAAGATATATATATATATATATATTCATTTTAAATTTAATGAAATTAGGATGAATGATCATAATTAAGAAATTATTCGCATAATTTTTTTATTGTAATCGGAAAATTGTGGTGAAATTTGCTGTTTCCATGTTTCCATGCATTAAGAAAATAATAGCTAGAAGAAAAAGCTGTTTTTACTATTAAAAAAATAAAATAGAATGATCAAATTCTATTAGTTTTTTATTGTTTTCAACCAAGAAATTTAAAAAATTTCTTAAGTGTATTGTTTAAACCTGTTGGATTTAATTATCTAGAAAATTTTGATTTCTATTTTTTTTCCATCAAATGAATACTATATTTTGGATAAGTTGAATTCATTATTTGGAAATTTTGAATTTTCTGGTTTCCTTTTATCATTTTTCAAAAATTTTTTGTTTTGCAGATTTTTTTTGGTTTTGTTGATATTTGTCCTTTATCATTTATTTATTGGGAACCGTAGAAAGTAAATATGCCACTGTGATATAATGTATTGCTGAAGCTTTGGCTTGAATAGTTGAGTAGATTTCTAGATAAGTAGAAACAATCAAAATCTGCGATTCTTTTTTATCAATTTATCAATTTTTTTAGTTGTTCACTCTTACATCGAGTTGCTGGTGATGTTGAAAGAAAATATCATCTTCGCTATTATAAAACAGCGCTTTGCGTTCATCCAACTGATGCACGTGGTGTATGTGCAAAAAATGGTCCTCACTGTGCATTTGCACATAGCACACAAGATTTACGACAGCCGCAGTTTGATGCGCAAGAAATTCAAAATGGTGCTCTTTTGGATCCAGAAAATCGCGATCGAACAAGTTTTGTTGTTGAAGATCCAATTTGGCAAGGTACTATATAAATTATTCTATAAGAATTTAATAATTAATGCAATATTTGTAAAGCAACATTTTTTTCTAATTAATTCAAATGCACAAGTACATATATATGAAATAATAAGAATTTTTTAGATCATTTGCATGTTCTTTCATGTTACAAAACGGAACCATGTAAGAAACCAGCTCGATTATGCAGACAAGGTTATGCATGTCCATTTTACCATAACGCAAAAGATCGACGACGACCACCGGCTCTGAATAAATATCGGTAAATTTATTTTCACTAGCAATGCTCAGTTCAAGCCGTTTTGAAAACTTTGAATGCAGACGACGCGAATTTTTAATAAGTTTTCTGTAGGTGAAATTTGTGTGATTTGATAGTTTAATTGATTTTCAATCAAATTTTTTGATTATTCTCATTAATCCAATCATTATTCAGTTGATTTTTTTGATTTTTTTGGTATTTTTACCTTTAGCTCACTTTATACTTTTTTTTGCAGTTCTACACCTTGTCCAGCTGCTAAATCTGGTGATGAGTGGCTCGAACCAGATCAGTGTGAAAAAAGTGATGATTGTGGTTATTGTCATACCAGAACTGAACAACAGTTTCATCCGGAGATTTATAAATCGACTAAATGTAATGATATGTTAGAACATGCTTATTGTCCTCGTTCTGTTTTCTGTGCGTTTGCTCATCACGATTCTGAATTACACGTTCAGCGAACACCTTATTATAAATCTCCTGATAATACGACATCTGCAGTTCAACCAAAACAAGGTACCACAAGTGGTGCTGAATTAAGTATATCACCTGTTTTACGTAATGGTAAGATTGTGATTATTTTTACAACAAGTTTTACAACAAGTCAAAACGAAACTGAAGACTATATGCTTTGCATTTAGAAAAATATTTACATTTTCAACTTGTAAAGTGAATTCAAATGACAAACTTTCTTGACCTGCGCGATATTTTTGTCGGTTTCAGCTTAGAGTTTAATTTTACCATTAGTTTTAAAATTTTTTGCAGAAAGCCATAGCATCAATCAAGCATCCAATATAGCAATTGGCTCAACACCAACTTATTCGGTTAGAATTTTTGTCACCACATTCATCTTCATTTTTTTTTAATTTCTTCATTTTCATCATCAAGTTTTTCTGAACTGCGCAATTTCTGTCATTTTTTATTTACTTTCAGGCTGTTCTGAAGCATCGTCAAAATATAGCGAAGAACTTATGCTCAAATTTAGATGATGTATTATCTTATTCGAAAGCGCCTGGGTATGAACGCGTACAAATATCAGTAAGCTTCTAGAATTTTTTCAAGGGAGCTCTATTGTTTTTATTCTCCATTAAGATTTTCTTCACTAATCCATTTGTATTTATTTTTTTTTTCGTTTTTCGTTTTTATTGTAAAATCACCAAGTTTTTCTGTATTTATGTTTTGATCGGCGTGATTTCTTTCTATTTTCTTTGAGAAAGGCTGTGGTTCAAAAATGTTTTCCATATTTTTTCTTATTTTTCTTAAACTTACTTTTTAATTGGTGTAACATTATAAATTCTTATTTTTCAGCCTCAGCGAGCAATTGATACGGCAATTGGGCGCATCAGAACTTCATCGCTGAATATGGGACAAATAGATTTAGGTAAATTTTTTGGTTGATAGTGAGATAAATGATTGCTGTTTATTTCTTTTCATTGTTTAATATTTTCTGTAATTCATTTTTTAAGGATATTCTGTTACGGGAGCAGGTGAAAATTTAGTTTCTTCATTGCCTTCATATTCTGCTTTAAACACTGTTCCTCAGCGATCAAATGCGGATGCATCAATCCATGCTTTGCCACTAGCTATTGATGAACTTGCATTAGAAGATTTGGCGCTTTCTCCAATTAATGAAAATCGAGAACACAGCAAAGTGGTTCAGGATCTTTTCACTAATACTCGTTAGATTTTTAAAGCTTTTTAATTAGATGATGAATTTTTTCTACGAATGCTTTTTAATTATTTAATTTACATTTGAACATAACACTTTCTGTTTTGCCGTTGTCAAATTTTTGTGAGTAGAAGACAGCTTTTTAATCAAAAGCGACTGTGAAATTTTACTTTCATGTTATGTTCAAATATAATTTTTTATATGGTCAGTCTGAAAATTTCTATAGCTATGCTTTCTGCCAAATTTGCAAGGAAAATAACTCATTAGAGAAGATAAGGAGTGATGTTTTTTAATATTTTTAATATTTTTTATTTATATTTATTAATATCTGCAGCGATATCATCTTCATCCTCGTCAATGCAAAATGCCGGTTCTCCACTTGGAACGTCTCCTTTAGCGTCACTTTCTGAGACATTATGTTCTCAACGTAAAATTTCGGATCAAGCTCAAGCAACTTCTTCACAGAGGAAAGTCTCAGCAATATCTGGAGGTAATTTTTTAAATTATGAAGGCATTTTGTAGTAAGAAATAAATGTTTTCTTTTTGAAAGTTCTGAAGCCATTGATCAAATTTTTTAGGAACTACTGAAAATATGACGTATGTGGACTTGGAACGAGAATTGAAAAAGAAAAATGATGAATTGTCTGCACATCATATGAAATTAATTGCTTGGGAAGATGGTCTAAAGCAAGCTCGACAAGTTTGTGAAGTATGGAAGCAAGATGCTGAATGCTATCGAATCCGAGCTGAGCATGCGGAAGCTGAAAAAGCCAAAGCCATTGCAGAAAGAGATCAGGCAACTGAATTTTTCGCTTAAATTATTTTCAATATTCGTTCAATTACCGATTTGATTTGATGTTAGGTGTCTTGCAGGCATTGGTGCAGTTAGAAATTTTAAAGCGAGAATTACATTTGACAGTTTATGGGAATAATCAACAGACTTACGATTTCCCGTCCTATCAACCTGCAGCTAATGCTTACAGCTTGTTCACACCGGTAAAATTAGATTTACAGTTAAATAAAATTTAAAAAATTTGTTCTTATTCTTAAAGAAGCATTGACTTTGTTTCACTTGAATTTTTACCAATGTTCTGGTCAAGGTTATCGTTATTAGTTGTGGGATTTAACAAAATTGGAAGACCTTTTATTTTTTATCATGCCAAGTTTTTTGGAATTCCAAAACTTTTAGTTCGAACATGACGAACAATTGGACGGTAGTGGTCCAGTCTGTGCACGATGTGGTCGAGACAAACGATCGGATTCAAGGAATCCTTCCTGTAGGCTATGTAGTTAAATGTAATTTCATTATATACGGGTAAATTTTTTTACTATATAATACCAAGGGAAAATAGCGGATTTTCAAAGATATTAAAATTTATTGATTTACTTGGTTTTAACGAAAGTATTTCACCTGTCATGAGTTAAATGTTGTCAGCCATGTGGCTTATTTCTATATATCATGTCAAACCACGAGTTTTTTTCCTATCATTAACGTGTAATTTTTTTCAATGAGGCTCTCTATTTTTTTGACAGGTTGTGGATTTCTTTCTATTTTTTTTGAAAACTCGTTTAGGTAAGATTTTAAATGGAAATCTCATTAGAGGCGGCGGGCTGATTTATTTAAATGTTACAGTGATTTTTAAATTATCACTTCATTTATTTTTGGTATTTACCTCACTTCTGTGAGTTTGAAAAGGAATTCCTTTTATCAGATCTTTTTCACAATTTTACCTTGAAATTGTTTTTAACATTTTTCGTTTAGAAAAGGTAAAAGACGACATAGATTATTGAAAAAGTAGACATCAGTGATGAATACAATGTCGGTAGATTTCAGTTAGCGAAAAATAAAAATGGCGAATTATGGATGGAATCAGTTTAAAATAGATTTAGCAGATAGTATTTCGGAATGGTTACTCGAATCATCCTTCTGTTTAAATGTAACAATCACTATGACGAATCGCATTCGTGGGTAAACGGATCGATGTAGTCTGATGATTGGCAGGCTTTAAGTCCTCCTTGTAGTCGTACGCATTTGCCTTTGACTTCTTTCATCTGGAAGAGATTTTTTAAAAAAGTCTATGGTAAATCTATAGTTTTTTTTAGTTTATTAAATTTCAATGCTTTACGTAGAGCAGATTTCGCCTAATATCTCTTCTTTAATTTATGTTTTATTAATTTAATCTCGATTATGTCTGTATTTCATTCAGGGAATTCTAAATTCCTATATGTTAGGGTTATTTTTTATTTGCAGTGTTAATTACCTGCTTGAGCTTTATGGTTTACAATTTTTATAAATTAAATAATTTCCGTGAATTGTTGTAATTGTTGTTGTAAGAACATTTCTCGATTGGGAATATTTATTTCGGTCAGGCATAGCTGACGAATGACATGAAAGGTATCTTTATTTAAATTTGGTGGATCTTTTTTTTTACAGAAATTGAAGTAAATTAAATTCATTAGCGCCTGGTAACAATCTTTTTTAAAATTTCATTCGATAGGATTTGAAATATTTTTTGCTTAAATATTTTCGAAATATTTTTTTTTATTTTCTAATATTTCGGATAGAATAGTCATCGCTTATCGGTGTAAAATCACCCGATGCGTTCTTCCAGATATTACTTACGGGCTATAATTTTCTTGTCTTTTCGTTATTACAATTATTATTTTTGTGGTTATATGAAACTGTTTATATTTAAAGCCATGGTAAGTAAAAAGAGATGAATTGTGGCCAAAATAAATTTTTGTGGAGGAAAATGTTTTGCGTAATATTGCGAATATCGCGTGTTTAGATTATCTCTGATTATTTTTTTCTTGATTATTCTAGTTGATTTAATTTGTATATATTAATTGGCATATACCATTTTTTTCTGTCCTATTTTACCTATTTTATTGTTAATTTTGCCATTTTTCATCAGTTGTTATTTTATTTTTTACTGATGAAATTTATTTTATCTGTATTTTAGCACTTAAATGGATCTATATAAACAGAAAATAGGTATAAGATGGTTGATTATATAAAGCCATCTACTATTTGTGCAAGATGCTTGATGATCACATAATGCTATTCGTATATGACCTTATTAAATGACAGATTTTCATTCCTATATCTTTTTAATAAATTTATTAGGGTTTTTATTTTTCTTTGCGAAAAGCATCTATTTTTTTTGAAAATATATCATTTATCATATGATGATCACGGTGAATTTATTAGGTTATTTGTCTGTTTTAGAAATAAAATATTTATGTTTATGTTGGTTGTATTTCTAAAAGTTTACAAAAGAAAAAAAATAAGTGGAAGAATTCATAAAAAAAAAACTGTTTGTGTTTAAGAATGAATGTCTGTGAAGATAAGTAATCTGTAATAAATCAGGCAAAGCAACAACTGCAAAAGTGTCTAGACTCTAACTTAGACTCACTGTGAGGATGACCTGGGATTTAGGGTCGTATTGTTTGGACCAAAACCATGAAATGAGTCTTTTTGAGGTAGTGGGGCCAGGAAATGAATAATGATTGAGTTTCTCGTCCTAAAATTTCTCTTTTTAAAGAAAATATAGTGAATATGGTGATCAAGTGTGACTTACCACTTGAACATTTATCGCACAGTCGCCATCTTTAATTGTTTCTGTTAAAACGGTGATTGTTGGTGAATAAATAAGAACAAATATAGCAAAAGTAGCGAACATCTCTCGTTAAAAGACAATTAATAGAACAATTAATAAACGAATCGTCAAGCAAGCGATTCTATTCAACAGATTTATTATGATGGCTTTCTGTCTTTTTTATATGTTAAGCAATTTTAATCTTCTTAAAGTGAAATTTTATTTTTGCTCCACCCAGCGGGGAGATTTCAAGTACCCGAGACAACGCCCATTATAAATTTTCCCAAAAATGTAGGCTTTTTCAGAGTTTTTTTAAAAAAATGTTAAAAAATAAATGAGAAATAAATGTAACAAAATTGACAAAAGAAAGTATGGAGGAAAGAACGAAGAAAACTGTTTGTTTGATTGATTTGGTACCACAATTCGGTTTTATGTACCCTTTAAACAATAATAAAATGCTCCAATACTCGGTGCATTCATTCTTTCTTGAACCTCAGTGAATAGAAATGCTTTCCTTCCTGAATTTTTTGTGAACAAAATTCGTTAAATTTTTACTTTTGCGAATGTTTATTATTTATTATTTTTCTTGAATTTACTCTGAAAAAATATAAATTTTTCATTTTTTTGCAATTCAATAAAAAAAATTTTCACAATAAATAAAATAAAATCTGTTAATTCATTTAAATAATCATATCAATTTATCATTTTTCAATAATTCTATCATCGTCAATGCAATGAATTAAATAAACTGACTAGTATTAAAAGCCATAACTAATAAAATCATTTGCTTAAAGGATGAAATCACTGTAAGTTTAAAGCGCAAGCAAGAACAAGAATTTCTGTAAGGAATATAAATTAGAATAAAGATGATATATATTCTAATTATTTTCTGGACTTTCTTGGGTAGAATAGCTTGGCAGGTTGTCGCTCTAATTTGGAAGCACCGATGCTAGGGTTCTACTTCTCACAGGAGTGAACCTATCTTTCAAAAATCCACTCACTTGTACTTTGCCAGTTGGCTCCCTGACAAAAATTTATATTTATATGGAGCCTAATTAAAAATGGAAATGAAAAAAATGAAAAATAAAAAAAAGTGTGCGTGTGAAAAAAATTATTTCTGGCATATATTTCACATACTTCTCAAGTTTTCAATTTTTAAATTTGACTACGAAATACTATTATCATTCCCTAACTAGAATGAGCTATTATCAAAATTATCATTTATCACTTACTCATGAAATTATCTGGAATATTTATTTACTAGAACGCGTAAATATAAATTGGCCGATATTCAGGCTGATTTTAACAACGAATTTTATGTTGGAATTTTTAATCCCTATGAACATTTATTAAATTTTAAATTTCATAAATTTTTTTTCTTGGAAACCTACCGAAAATATTCTATTTAACTAACTATTTAAATCAACCTTCTTATTAAACTGCTGCAGCCAAGAATGATTTTTAAATGATTCAATGTAGTATAAAAAGCAGCAAGCAGCATGAAGTGAACTGGTGTTAGTCTAATTGGTGCACTACTGGCCTTGTTGAAATTCGCCATCTTTTTCCAGTTTTTTTCTAATATTATATATTCTTTATGATTTCTTATAGTAATCGAAATTTTCTTTAAACAAAATACTATTCTTATAAAAAATAAATAATCGTTTGTAAAATAATTAATTTATTTTTTTCAGTTATATCATTTTCTCTTTTTCATTTAAATATAATCGTCAAATATCAAAATTCTTCGAAATAATTTCTATTTTATAATGGTTTAATCAACAAATTATCTAAAATTTTTTAATTTTTTATCTATTAATTGTTTCCTAAATATTTTCAACAATCCCATAATGAATCGAATAATATTAATACTACCATCACAGAGCGTCATCTTCGCTGGTTACGGCAAATTTTTCGTCGCTCTCCACAGGACACACTTAACGCATATTTCACTACTTGTGATAGATGGCATGAAAAGCGAGGAAAACCAATCAAGACCTGGACTGATACAGTCAGGAAAGATTTTGAACACACAGATGGACCAGTGAAATATGGACTTAGGCGATGGAACAAGGAATGGCTTCTGTTCGTATCAGCGATGGCATGGGAACAAATAGCTTGGAAATGTCTTATCCTTGTAGCCAGCGAAGCGTAAGGAATAATCGTGAGTTAATAGAGTTAATAGAAGAAGAACAAATCGAATGTAAATCGACGATAATCATTTGTATTTTTTCTTCAATAATATTTATTTAATTAAGTTGTTATTTGATAAAAAGTGCAGTAAAAAGCGAAAATTCAACTTTATTGTAACCAGCACCGATACATATTAAATAGTTATAAGCTAGGGCGATTCGAATAATCGAATAATTGTTCAGACCATCATAAATTCGACTCACCTCCATTAACAGAAGGAAGTGAAGTAAAAGCGAATGGCATTGGTGATCCAATGGCATTTCTATACACCTCGGTAAAAGTAACATTTATTCTAACAACAAAAGGAGCGTTCAAAGTAGAAATGGAAGAAAAGTTCGAAAAGTGAACCACTTTTATGTAAATAAGTAAATTAAAATCGCTTAGATAACATTAATTAATAGGAAATTAAAAAATGAAAAAGGATAAATTTGAAAAAAAAAAAAATTTGCTGAATACTGAGTTTAAAGTGGATGAATGATTTAATTTACGTGTTTATACTATTTGC